CTGTCTGTCTATTTTAGAGTACTTTAGGCATGTTAGCTAAGAGGTTTCATTTACTATGTGTCTGTCACACATTTTTTACCTCAAACTCAGGCCTCAGTTTCTTCAAATGTAACACTGTAAGATGTTCCTAACAGTCTAATATAAAGAATGCTGCTGTATCAATCATCCAGACCCAAGAAATGTTCATTTTATGTCATATTAACTACAGAGTCTTGAATAAGGATGGCCTGTATGAGTTGTGGATCAGTGTGCATGGAGGTCAGAGGGTAGCCTGGGCTGTCTGTCCCAGCCTTACCCCCTGTGTGAGACAAGCTTTCTTTGTCCTTTTTCCCTTCCTGTGCCACACTGTCTGACCCTCCAGATTCTGAGGATCTCAGCTCTTGTGGCTAATCTCACAGTGGGAGCACTGTGAATTCTCACTATGGGAGCATTGTGAATTTTCACTGTGGGAGCACTGTGAACTGTCACTGAGGGAGCATTGTGAACTCTCACTGTGGGAGCACTGTGAACTCTCACTGTGGGAGCATTGTGAACTCTCACTGTGGGAGCACTGTGAACTGTCACTGTGGGAGCACTGTGAATTCTCACTGTGGGAGCACTGTGAACTCTCACTGTGGGAGCACTGTGATTTCACATGTGTACTCTTGTGCCTGCATTTCTGTGGGTTCTGAGCTCAGGACCTCATGCTTGAGCAGTGAGTGTCTTACTCACTGAACCACATGCCCAGCCTAAGGAAAACACTATTTTTTTTTTTTTTAAAGAATTTGTTCGTTCTTCCCAGTCTTGGTTCAAGTGCCACCCCCTTTAAAAAGCTTCTACATCTATCCCATCGAGCGCATAACCAGACCTGGCACCTTCCTGTCTCACTCAATTGAACCAGCTAAGACATTTTGTAGGTTTTATTTTTCCCTTATGTGGGGAAAAAAAAACTCTAAATAACCATTCATTTATTCATTATTTCTGTTAGTATATGAACCTCAAATCCAACCCTCATGTACTGAGGGTGTGGTCCCAGCAGTGCGGCCAGTTGCTGACAGATGATTGGACCAGGAAAGTTCTGACCTAATCAGTGTATCACCTCTCCCCCACCCCCATAGACTCATGGCACAGCATTCTTGAGTGGTGGGGGAGGGGAGGAGGTGGGCCTCCTTGAAGGAAGTAGGTCCAAGCTCACTGGAAGCACACATCTATCTTGTCCCTGACACCTTCCTTGTGTCTCTGCTTTCCAGGCATAACAAGAACATCGGCTACCCCAGTACATACTTCAACTCGGATGTTTGCTTCACTGAAGGAAACAATGGAGCCAGCCTCCTGAACTGTCATCTCTGAGTCCACGAGTCAAACAAATCTTTCCCCCTTTTAAGTTGTTTCCTCGGGTACTTGTCATAGCTGTGGAAAGCTAGCACCTCATTCAACAGTATGATTGGAACATGTGCTGGGGGCCATGTTCAACACAGCAGCTTTGAGGGCCTGGAGAGACGGCTTGGTGGTTTAAAAGTGCCTGAGTTTGGGTCCTAGCACCATGTCAGGGGGCTCACAACAGCCTGGAGATCAAAACCCCTGGTTCTGGTCTCTGGTGGCACCTATATGGACATGAACATACACATAAACAAAATAATAAAATGTCTTTTTAAAATGTGAGGGGTCAGCCTGCTTGAAAGGACCATAGAGGAGAACTGGGCTGAGGAAAGGGTGAGGCTGGTTGGAGGAGCAGGGACTGGGATAGGGGTGTGGGGCTTTTTAATCTTTTAAATTGTGTATGTGTATAGATGCTTTGTCTGCATGTATGTCTGGGCACAGTGTGCATGCCTGGTGCCTGCAGAAGCCAGAAGAGACGCCCTGGAGTTGGAATTACAGATTGTTGTGAGCTGCCTGCCATGTGGATGCTGGGAGTTGAACCTGGCACTCTAAAGGACCGGCCAGTGCTCTTAGTTGCTGAGCCATCTGTCTAACCCCAAGAGGGGTGGTTTCTGAGGGGCTGTGGAACAATCAATAGAGAGGAAGTTAACAACAACGGCCAGGACTGTGAACCCCAGCCTGGGGTAGAGCTGTTGTCAGAGGCCTGCTGTGATGTGACTGCCTCACCCCTGCCCACCTCTGGCCATGGGCAAGTTACTTAAGATCTACATTGAAACAGAGACAGAGTGATGTGTGCCTCCTGAGTTGTGCACATAACGGATATGGTTTGTAAAGCGACACCATCCACTGAACACCCCCTCCTGGATCCCTCAGTTAAAGAAGCCTCTTTGTGTTTGAGAAAACAAACAAACAAACAAACAACTTTTGGCAGTGTAGCATTTGGGAGGCAGAGGCAGGAGGATCAGGAGTTAAGGCCATCCTTGGCTAGATAGTAAGTACAAGGCCAGCCAGGTTACGTGAGACACTGTCTCAAATGCAAGACAACAAAACATCTTTGTTGCTAATAATTAGTTTAGGACTTACAACAGCATTCCCTCACTTGTGATTTCATTTTTTAACAGTTTTATTAAACTCTCTGGTCAATTGTGATCTGAAAATATTAGATGGAAAATTCCAGAAATACATAATTCATAGGTTCAAAAACCCTGCCATTCTGAGAAGCATGATGAATTCCTAGGATCAGCCTCTGTCCCACTCAGCACCTGTATTGCCCTCTCTCTTCAGCGCATCTGTGGAGTACACGCTACTCTCCATAGCTGGCTTGATTAGCACACCAAATATCAGTGGTATTTGATAGAGGGATTCAGCACGGTTCTTGGTTTCGGGTGTCTGACAGAAACACAGTGTCTTTTCCTTTGTGAAAGTTACAAAGTTGCCAAGGGCAGAGGTTGAGCTGCACCCAGGAGACCATAGCAGGGCTGCCTGGAGTTCTTGTTGGTAGTTCTTCCATTTCAGTTTTGACAGGGTTGTGAATTACTGGTTTAGATTGACTTGAACTGCATTTCTAATATTTTGTGTGTCTGGAGGGGATTCAGGGAAGCTATAGCCAGTTTAGAGACGAGGAGGGGTTAACAAACTTGGCAAGACAAGGACGAGCCTTGCTGGTCTAGAAGGGGGTGTCATGGTTTTTTGAAAGGCAGAAACAGAAAGTATCAGAGGATTCTGGGGACAGCATTGTCTAGTCAATGTCACAGGAAAACCTGAAGTAAAAGCTGAGGGAGCAGGATTTGGAGTCAGGAAACCTGGGTTCTACTTGGTCTGTGTCTTAGGTCTGTAAGGCTGTGCAAGTCTCTTCACTTCGTGTGCTCATTTGTAGAGTGGAGGCCCCTTTAATCCTAGGGATGTCAGCCAGTGCCAGGCCTTCTTCAGCCTTCAGTGAGAAGCCCTGCTGAGTGGGGCCTGGACCTGATCGCTCATTCAACCTCAGCAGGCAGGGCCAAAAGTGACCAGTGACCAGTGACCACAGACTTGAGGCTTCTTTCCCAACACTGAGCATTTCAAAGAAAACCCAGGGCTCCACTGAGAGTGGTCTGCAACCACCACAGAATGAAGGGTGTGTGCCATGCTGGACCATTTGCATGGAAAGGAAGGCGAGAATGAAGTTGGAGAACACCAAGGCAGAAACCCAGCAGCTTGACTCTGTTTGAGGGGCCACTGTGCAGGGGGCCAGAAGAACATCTCTTCCTGCCCTGATTCCCTGGGACGTCCCCATTCTTGCTGCTCTCTCTCTCTCTCTCTCTCTCTCTCTCTCTCTCTCTCTCTCTCTCTCTCTCTCTGTGTGTGTGTGTGTATTTGCATGTGTGTTCATGTGCATGTGGAGGCCTCTGACCAACACACATAGACTTGGAAGTAGGCATCCCTAGGGTTCCTCCCTCGTGACTTCGTACCCCACCCCCACCTCCAAACTTGTTTCTACTACAGGAGACAGACAGTGACCTCAGGGTGAATGGGCAAACTGAAAGGCTGGGGCTTTGCGGCCCCGAGCAAGGCTCCTGGCTGGCGAGGAGGGCTCATGTGAGCTGCTGCCCTAACAGGGAATAGTGTTTTTGCAGATTGCTTGGGCAGAAGATCTCCAGAGATCAGAGCTGTCTCTGCTGTTCCGAGGAAGCATGAAGGGGTCTCTCAGAAAACCACAACAGATCTTCCCTACGTGTTTGTTCCAGGAAGTTGGGAGATTTGTCAGGAAACCAAACATCCAACACGTAGCACGGTTTAAAAAGCGAAAACCCGAAAGTTTGTAAGAAAACGTGGATCTTTGGGGAGGACATAGGAGTCAGGAAGGACTGGAGAGACGATCAAAAGAGAAGGATGAAATGCGTTCCGAGGTGGAAACAACACAAGAGTAGAGAAACAGACTCATCTACCTCAGGACAGGTGCCATCTTTTCTGGAAGATCAGGCTTGTTGAGGAAGCTCCAGACACTGTAATCCCCCAGGAAAGCCTAGCCTACAGACGCCCATAAAACCTGGGATCAGGGAGCGGGCTACAAGTGGGTGTTTTCCTGTGCTCCAAAATGTGCGCGATCCACAGGTGCCAGGCATGGTGGACTGAGAGCTGACCCCCAGCGGCGAGGGCTCAGCTTCTAAGCTTAAGTAGCGCATCTAGAGGGCCCAGGATATGGGCGCACTGGCTTGAGGGATCAAGCAGGAGGCGCTCTAGGCCCGTCTCCCACCTCCCCGCTGGCCCTCAGTCTCCTCCTCCCGGCATTGGGTTTGCAGTCCCGACCCTGGAGAAAACAGATCTTGGTGGAGACCTACGGGAGCTCGCTGGTCTCGGTGTCTCCCCCTAGGCTTTGAGGACCTCCCGGGCTCTTTCCAGCCGCCGCCCTCAGGCCGACTTGGAGAAAGTGATCTGCGTTCGAGGCGGCGAGCTCAGTGCCGGGTGCGCGAGAACCGGAGCGCTGACTGTCCTGACAGGCTGCGGAGATCCCTGGCGGGGTCGAGAGCGGCTCGCCCGGGTGGAGTCAGGATCGGAGGGCTAGGGGCGCGGCGGCCACTCTGGGAGGTCGGGCGGCGAGCGTGACCTCACTGGGAGGGGCCAGCGCGCAACCGGGACGCGGAGCCCAGCGCGGAGCCCAGCGCGGAGCCCAGCGCGGAGCCCAGCGCGGAGAGCTCGGCGCGGAGCGGATAGCAGCGCTGAGAGCGCACAGCCTACCCGAGATGGAGCGCTACAAAGGTGAGGGCGCAGGGCGCACCTACTTGCTCCGGGCCTCCCGGACTCAGGTGACCAGAACGGACTGTCTACGCCCAAGGGACCTCAGCCCTAGAGAGGGCGATCGAGGCTCCACGAACTGGGCGATGGGCTTCTAGGCGTAGAATGCGGTCCGCTCTCTTTGATATTCCTGGGCCCCTGGGGCAGAGGTCTCTGCTTGGAGATGAAAGTGAGGCTTCTCACCTGTTGGATAACCGAGGGTGTGTCTGGAGCCATCCGGTCACCCCCAGTTTGCCAAGGGGGGAAGAAATCTACAGTCGAGGGAGACCCAAGTAACGTCTCAACAGTAAGGGGCTGCTGAGGGCAAAGGGGCGAGTTGTAGGGTCCTTTCGATGGATGCTACCTTGTTGAGGGGCTTCTTGCAGATTCCCGGAAAAGCTTTGTCCTGTGGCAAGAAAAACTCCTAATGTGGTGAGGTGGCGTGCTATTCTGTTCTTGGCTAGGTCCGGCTCTCCACCACTTTGTAACCGTGCCTCACCATACCCTTTGCAGACCCAGTACCTCAAAGCTTCGTGGGAGTGTGGGTTAGGAGCCCCGTGTGCTGCCCAGCAGGTGGAGCGCCTGTAGGCGTCCTGGCAGCAGAGCGAGCTTGGATTTGTTTCTGGCCAGGGATCTTGGCCAAACCATGGTGGGAGGGCCGGCCCGGATATGCCCGAAGGGTTTTGGAGCCCCGGGGCTGGAGTCCAGAAACCTCGGATAGTAAGTTCTTTGAAAAGGGAGTTCAAGGTGCTGCTTCTGAAGCGGATATTTCCGTGAGCCCCTACATGCCTTCCTCTGGGAAAAGCCGCTTGTACTCACTTTTCAGAGGTTGTCTAGGCTAAGCCTGCGAGGGAAGAGTCTGCTTCTGTATTTATTTTCCCACGGGAGGGTAATAAGGCAAACGCTCAGGTTGCCAAGGAATCTCGCTCTTCCTCTATGGTTTCTTATTTATGGAACTCACCTAAGGGACCTGTGCGGACAGGCTTTAGTTCCCTAACGTAGTAGCGTCTTTCGACTTTTGCGTTTTCTCTTTCTCAGGATGTTCAGTGACTAGTGACTCACCTGTAAATACAGGGTCCAGGCACTGAAGTCAGCGGGGTGGGGGAGAGGCACCAGGGGCACTCACTTAGTAAACTTAGGTTTCTTTCAGTGAGACCTCTCACGGGAGCCTCTCTCCCACGTCTAACTCGGAGAAGTCTTAACTTAGTTCTGATGGAATCTAAAATTTCCCTCAGTTTTCCCTCAGTGAGGGAAAGGCAGAAGTTGCCCTCATGTAGTATCGAACATTGGCGGCCACGGCCCCTCTCTTGGTAGAAGGGTAATGTGCCGCTCCACCCTGGGCCTCCGCCCTTAGGGAGGGAACCTAGGGGCGGGAAGTGGGGTGTGGATTGGGGCCTTGGGTGTCTCCTCACTGGAAATACCGACTCCAAGGTCGCTTCAGCTCCTTGGATTGTGAAGCTGAAGCAGATGTTGGACCCAAATCGAGGGTCCAAATTGCGAGCTTTTTTGCCCAAGCAGCGAACTGGTTCAAATTAGAGAACAGGCAACAGGTGGGCAGCTATGCATCCGGGAATTGTAGCAGGGTGTGTGTGTGTGTGTGTGTGTGTGTGTGTGTGTGTGTGTAGTTTTTGAATTGGCTCTTGACAGGATAAAATCTGCTTAGTTTATCTTCCTCATCTGGGAGCTGAAAAATCTCATCCTCTACTGGGATCAGTTAGGGACTTCCAGCTAAATGAAGAGAACTGGTTTTCAGGGCTGAGTGCTTGTGTTTTGGAGATAGATGTATGCCTTAGCGATCAGTGAGTGCACAGACTTGAGAATTACCTAGATTGCAAAAGAGAATACACGTGGCCTTCTTCAGTTTCACTCTGGGGAAACATGACTTCAAATCTCACTGATGTCATGCTGCTAATATCTGCTAATTTTTCTGGGAAGAATGTGGGGATCTTCTTCCCCCGGGCAAGTTACATTCTCTGTTCTCAGGGGAGATGAGTCTTCCCTTGGGAACTCACGGTGAATGCAAACTCTCCTCTGTGCAAAATGAATGCTAAGCTGCATGACTGATAAACCAGGTTGTTCTTTCTTATCAGAGCCCGGGGCCTTTACATTTTTGTAAGGTTTTGGGGTGTAGCTCAGGGTTAGAGAACTTGTCTGGCATGTGCAAGACCCTGGGTTTGACCTTCAGTGCACATGCACCCCAATATTTTAAAGGTAACACTGAGTAGTTGCAGAATAAGTAGGTGTGGTAGTTTACATGACAAAGTTGAATAGAAAAACAAGATTTATCTGGGCTCTTGTAAAGTTGGTCAAAGAAAATTCTTATGGTATCTGGCATAGTTTAAATCTAAAGTCTTTCTTATTCCCAATTTTAAGTCCTCTTCCCTACACAGGTAGAGTTGCTTATTCTTCTCTTCAGAGTCCAAAAGTGTTGTCCCTGATTTGGAAGAGAAAGAAAAGCTGCCATGGTGGAACAGCAAATGCTTTTCATGTCCCTGGCCTCTGTGATCCACTGTCCGTCCTCCCCACGGTAGCTCTGGGCTAATTGTCTTGAGGGAGCTGAGGGATGGCTGAAACATCTAATATTGAAAACTAGCCAGACTTTTCTCCCAGTCCTCTCCAACCCCCTCTGCTAGATCACCACGGCTTCCTCAACCAAAACCAACGGGGTGTGGGAGTAAGTGAGGTTCCCTTCTCAGAGGGATGGAGCTTTTCCAAAACTTGCTATAAAGTGTTGGTAAAGTTGCTATGTCTTGCATGTGAATCTTTGGCATGGTATAAAGTAGTAAGACCCCTACAAGTATCCAGGAAACTGTGCCAAGTCCTACAGGGTGCCTTGAAAAGATTCCCATCCTTGAGTGTTTATATATTTATGACTCTCCTAAGAGCATCCTGTATCACTGTGCATGAGCCCATTGGCTGACCTCATCCCAGGCAGTCAGGGATCCTGGTTCCTATTGCTCTCCCAGCTGGTGAGTGGGTCCAGGGCCAAGTGACTGACCTACTATCTGTGGATGACACTTGGAACTTCACGCCGAAGCTTCCTGAAGTTGCATCACACTTGGATCCCAAGTGGCCTGGCTGCAGTATATGGACTTCATTTTAGATGGGCGTAATGGGTTGTGGGGTAAAACCTTCTCCTGTAGCCTTTGGTTTTTTGGTCTGACCACTGCTTCCTCGAGTAGGTTTATGGTGCAGGAGGTTTAGGGGAGGGTGGTGAGATTTTGTCCAGAAAACAACATGGTCAGTGAAGGAATCTTGTTGGGGAATCTTAAGAGCTGTGGTCAGGAATGGTCTAAAAAGAAAAGACAAATAATTAAGGGAAATAAAGCAGATGTATAACTTAATCAAGCCCCTTCAGGAATTCTTTCTCCATGTCTAAGAGGTCAGCCCTTTCACTGTTACAGGTGTCTGACCCTCAAGCAGCAGACTTAGCCTCTGCTGTATGTGGAACCATGAATGTGTGTGGCCCAGGAAGACAGGGGTGCTCAGACACAACAGACATTCCTATTTAAACGTACAGAGTACAGGTCAGGCACTGCAGTTTTCGGAGGCCTTCCGGTGACTCTGTGACCCAAGTCCATGAGGCATATTTACTTTAAAAAATGAAACATCAAAATAGAAAACTAGGGCTGGGCAGTGGTGGTGCACGCCTTTAATCCCAGCACTTGGGAGGCAGAGGCAGGAGGATTTCTGAGTTCGAGGCCAGCCTGGTCTACAGAGTGAGTTCCAGGACAGCCAGGGCTACACAGAGAAACCCTGTCTCGAAAAACAAAAACAAAAACAAAAAAACAAAAAAAAAAAATAGAAAACTAGAAGAATAGGCTGGGGCTGGGGAGATAGCTCAGTTGGTAAGTGCTTGCTATTCAAGCACGAGGACCTGAATTTTTAACTCAGCACCCATGTAAAAACCCAGATATGACAGAGTGTGCTGGCTAGCCAGTGTAGCTGAGTCATCAAGGTCCAAATCCCCACGAGACAAATTTCTAATTTCTAAAAATGTAAGGTTGAGAGCAACTGAAGAAGATTACATGCCTTTGGCCCACATGCGTGTGTGTGCAAACATGAAAAGTCCACTTCCTCCTTGGGAGAACCACTTTTTTTTTAGGGGTACCCAGGTATGATGATGCTTAAGTCCTTAAAGGGATGCAGGATTTGCATATGGGGCACAGTGTCTCCCCAACTGCTTTACCTCATCTCTAGATTACAGTGTCTGCAGCTGCTGTATTGTAGCGTTTAGGGAACAATGGCAAAGAAAGCAGTGCACATTTAATGTCAGTGCAACTTTTGCAGGCTGAACTTCACAGTACACATCATCAATAACATAGCATTCTCTTACGTCACCCCTACATCGTGGATCTGCAGTTGGCTAACTCTGAGGCCACAGAACCTATGGCTATGGAAGGCCAACCAGAATTCTATACACATCCTCAACCTGAAAAAACGCAAGCAAGAACGGAGAGAAACATTATGCATGCACTCCCTCGTTTTATTCCATTGCATCTTGTGATAACTGCAGAAAGCTGGTGTGATTCACCTTTAGCTACTGTAGGCTTTGAACGGATGCATGAGAACACTGTTTTAAAGCAATATCAAAGTCTCCGTGTTTTGCAGCCCCAAAGCTCTGAGTTTGCTCATTGTACTTGACCCTGGGCACTACTGACTTTGAAGCTCTTTGTGTGGGAGCCTGGCAGCGAAATGGTTTAAAGCAGAAAAAACATGGGAGAGGTCATGAGCAAACTGGACCTGCTCAAGGGTCCTGCTTAGGGCCCTTCCTCTCTCCTGATGGGGTAAAAGCTCTGGGAACTGGGCTGCTTCCAGCACAGTTAAAGGGCCAAGCCAGGCCAGAGAGCTTCAAAGCTGAGAAAGCCATGCGAGTTCTCCTCCAAACCCCTTTAATGGCAGGAAATACTCCTCTAAAGGAAATGCCCCTCTGTCCTTCAGGGGAGGGAGACTCCTCCCAAGCTAGGGAGAAGGGCACTGTGGCT